ACCATCAATTGTGATGTTTTCCTGAGATTTACGAACAAAAAATCATAGAAGTAAACAAATGATAAATAAAGAATGAATTTATTGTTTCTTACCTCGTTGCCGGATCGAACGTGTTTGCTAACGGTGGCGTTCCATGTACGAACTCCTGGATCGAGTCCAAGCACATAATCAAACTCAAAATGATTGTACTTCTCTTTGATGGTGTTGTTATCAAGTTCTGGTGTATTGCGTTCAGGCTTCACGAAACATAACGAAACTGCCACACTATCGGTTGCCACAGCAAAATCGAATTCCTTACCATTTCCAAGTTTCGAAATTTTTGGCAGGTCAAATATTAAATCCCAATAGATAGCTGGATTGCTATCGTATTCAGTTTTTTCAATGTTTATTGGCTGACCGCGTTTTCCTTTTGACGATTTCAATGCTCCAAATTTGCGCGCAATCAAATAAAAAAGATGGATATCGATGCGGATATGTTTCATATCGAAATCGTGGATTGGAACTACTAAAAAATTCTTTATTTTTGGCGGGAGTGGAGTGGTCGGCATGACATTGTTGTTCGGATCGCGTCGATATTGGAACCAGTGTTGTTTCAACATTTCATATTTCGCGTGAAAATTGAAAATTTGTCGCTGAATGTTTATAAATATTGGAATGGTTTGGAACCAGCGATCACGAATGAGATTCTGAAAGTGTACATTGATTGGCAATCCAATGCCTGCTGCTTCGTTTAATAGAAGATCGATGTTCGCGTTTCTCTCGACTCTACTCTGGAACATTACGATCTTCGTCGCACGTTTTACATCCAATTCAGTGATGAGATTTCCTTGTCGATTCAAATTCAGTTCGTAGCGCTTTAGCGTGAAAAATTTCTTGATGCGACTGAATGCCCATACTTTGATGTTATTTTTCACGTTTGTTATGTACTGAGTGATGAGATGATTGAATGCGTTCTCCATGCCCTCGCGAGCTGGCCAATTTTCTGGACGAAGAAAATCAGGACATGCTTGCTCCACAGTTCGTCGAATTGCAAGCGGTAATTTGTGGTAATTTTCTTGTAATACCGAGGTGAAACATTCACCAATTACACCATTCACGTATTTATTGAATTGATCATTCGTGTATTCATCGGATTCACCTTTAAAAAATCGAACATTTTCATCGTCAAAGGCTTTGTTTGCTTTGAACAAAAACAGTAATGACGCCAGAGTCGTAATCATTGTGGCCGAAAGGCACCAGTATGTGACCTGATCGATGAATGGTGCACGATACTCTTCCCGCAGCACTTGATTTAGAGTCATCTTCAACGACGTACTGCGCCCATTCTTGGCTCTCTTTCTTCTCATCGTGACAGATCTATTGTACAAAAATTAAAGAAAAAAAATACACCAAATATAGCATAGATCACAAACACAATAAGATATAAACACTTCTATCACAAATTAAATGAAACAGTAATGAAGAGCGCATTATAAATATCACCTCTTACCTCAACAAAGTGACTCTGTATTCTAAATCGAATGATGAAATTTATTTCCAACGAGACATCAAATATTTTGCCGATCGAAATGTTGTTGGAATATTCACAGTTAATTTTATCAACACTCTGTTATTTCGAAATTAAAACAAAGACAGTCACAAAACCAACTGTGAATATATCCATTCCACAGGGAACAGCATTCCGAACACACAAAATCGTTTTTGAAATGACAATAAAACCAATTGATCGCCCAAACCACGCTTCAAACACTCTCATATAATTCTCAAGAAATCCTGTTGAAAACAAAACAAAGTTTTATTGTAAACAAAATCGGTTGGTGCAAAAGTTGTTTATACTAACTACTGGATTTGGTTTGACACATATACACCGCGCGGATAGAAAAATGTCAGAAAGATGTCAGTTGCATTTCGAAAATTCAAAATAATAATTCCACAAATAAAGAAAATTAAATGCATTAAATGACGTATAAAAGAGTTCTCCTGCAGAGTTTTATTTATTTCTTTCCGAATAAATTGTTTATTTTTTTATTTGAGCGTAAGATTTAGATTTTCAATATAAAACTTAATGTATTGGGTTGTGTTCACATTATGTTGTCAAATGAAATATTATTGGAAGTGAAAGAAACAAGTGGATCCATTCCATTGGAATTCGTGGAAACTATGCATATAATCTCCGTTCCATTTGAAACGAAAATGACCACCAGAATGGGCCAAAACGTTACATTTTTCAACGTTAGAATGTACTAAAAACTTTACAAATTTGTTTGCTGGGATAATTTTATTCGTGTATTTTCTTTAATATGATATCCACGTGGTAAAAAATTGATAGAGAAATGAAGAAAGTTGTTTAAATTTCAAGGATATTTAATGTCGATATTTTTTTGGAAATTTTCCATTATTAATATATATTTATATTATTTTAATCCTTGAAATTTGTCTTTGACTTATGAACAATATGCGGGAGATATGTGTTTATTTGAGCTATATTATAGATAAAAAAATCGTCAAGTTTATTGTTTTTTTCGTCTGTGGTTGTTTCTGTTCTATTTGTGTTTGTAAAACACACATTTACCTAATCATTGAGCCAGCTGACAGTTTACAGCAGTACCAACGTTGCGCATTATATTCTGAAAATAAAAAATAGTTGATTTTCCGTTCCTTGTTGAACGTATATAAGAAAACCTTAATTCGAACAATATGAAGTGTTATGTTGAGATATGTGTTGTGTTGAGATTTTTCTCGAATTAAGCTTCATGTGATATTTAAAAAATATTTTTACCAACAATTTCATCAAGATAATAATTGTGAATCAAATTAGAAACGTCGTGATTATTCTTAATTTTCAGTCACTTCAACAAGTGAAAATAAATCAAGTGTTGAAATAAAGTTTTAATCATAATGAAAAAATATCACTCGATAAAATATGAAAATATTAATATCTACGAATCAAATCTCAATGAAATGCATATAGTTCATGAAAAATTGTGAATATTTTTTTTATTTTTTTGTTGATGCTCTCAAAATTATTTCTATTATATTCAATATATTTTTTTAAATAGACTCAATAGGCGCAAGTTTTTTAGCTATACTATGCATACTTTGTGTGTAACTCATCATTTTCAATTATAGTGTTGTCTATAATTAAGCTATCAATACAAAGAAAACTTCTTTGTATTCGAATTTGTTGAGTCATATCCAAATTTGTTTATAAGTATCAAAGATCATTTAACTATAGAAAATTCGATTTAAAGTTGATCGCCATTTTTTAATTCCTCTAGTTATCAGTTGTCGTGCAATCGTTAAGATTCTTCTTTTATGTAACGTTAAATAAAATCGTGAAAATAGTCATTTTTCTCTATTTCCCCTCTTTTCATTTTTTTCATGTTCATTCTAAATAATCTATTATTAGATTCTCAAACGTAAAGTGAATATCAGTACGTAATTTCAATTCCCATGAAAAGTGCAACATATATCTGTCAGTGTTACCGTTGGAAAATTATTGAAGGAATAAAATTCTATAAACTGTCTATTCAACATGTCCACTGAATTTGAATCTACTGCTGATAAATGTGCACCACGTAATGCGTTGTTTTGTTGTCGATCGCCAATCTGTTTGAATAATAGTCCACAATTGATGCCTGTCACAAACATTTCATTGGACTCGCAACACCAAAATCAATCAAAAGTTTATCCTGTGTTTGTACCAAATCTGTCGGATAGTGGACACTATCATAATTTGATTTCACAATCAATGAAGATTTCGGGCGAAACTCAAAAGAATGATCAGACCCCGAAGAGTATTGTATCAATGGATCCCGAAACATTAAAAACTCGTCGAATAAATAAATCACAATCTGCGCAAGATATTCGACATTATGGTATTAGTTTGCGGCGTGTAACGCCACCAAAATCAACGATTTCTGTGAAAAAAAACGATAATCCAATGATGAATGTTGTTTTACGCAAGGTATTTACTTATATTAATTGCAATCAATTACTAAGATTCCATTTTCATTTTAATTGCAATACATCAAAATATTAATTTAAAAAAATGGGTTAATACTTACATTAAAAGTATTTCGAAAATTTAGGCAGTTTTATCCATACGCATTTGCAGGTTGAAAAGAAGCTGCTTGAACCACCCAAATCCAGTAAACACGAAAAAAGTCCGCCTCCAAAAAAACTCACCCCAATTAGTACTAACGCTGGTATCAGCATAATAAAAGCGAAAAAATCACGAATTTTTTCAACTAACCAAAATTTAATTGCAAAATCAAAATCAATAAATTGTGTGCCAAAGAAAAATGAAATCGACCTAAAAACTTCATTGGCAATAGCGAAACCACCACAGCCACTAGCGTCACAGCCTGTAAATTTATTGAAAACACAAAGACCTCCTCTTGAAATTCATAAAATTGAGGGCGACAAAATCATCATTATAAGACGCGTTTCTCGAGCACAGCGTATGGCGGTCGACTGTGATCTAAAGCACAAGAGCTTACCTACACTTTCAACAGCTCCCCTTAAACAGGTTACAATATTCATGTGCTTTGTTGATAATCTCCTTTTATACTAATAATATTATTAAATTGGGCATCATCTCATTAATTGGATACTATAATACAAATGTGTGCTGTTTTTTATATAATAGCGTTATTTAAACCAAATAGTATGTTGTGATGTTTTTTTTTGTTTACAGAACCGTATTTCCACGTATGACTTTCCTATGTATTTTGAAAATGAACAAAGCATACATCACACAACACATACTTTTGTATCTCATCCTAAATCAAACAAATCACAATTAAATCATGGAGAGAACCCAACAGTACTCGCAAGGCAAAATAGTGAATGGACTAACACACCACACGCAAAGCCAATCGAAATAAATTCAATGTCTGAAACGAATGGACAAACCTCTAATCCGTTGTCAAAATCGTTATCACTTCAAGTATTTTCTGATGAAAGCCAATATTCTAATAACATGTTATCAGAATATAAGCAAAACAAAGAAAATGATGAATTATTAAATGCACAAATTTACAAAAGTATTGGAAAATTCATTCCAAATTTAGAACTCATGCAACTGAATTCAATTGTCCCGGTGAAAACTTCAACATCTACGAAATCAAATCGATATTATTTAAATGGTGGTCAATCATCTTCAAATAGTGATTTAATCGATTTGACTCCAAAAAAAATTGTCCCCGTTGGCGAAATGTACAATGAAGATATCGACTACATGAATAATTATTTGAAAAGTTTGCCTGATTACGATGAACTCAATCGAAAGATTACTAATGAACAGCAAAAATGTGAAGACATATATGACCGTCTTTTGTGCATAAATTCTTCATTGAAATCAGATCCTTTGCCTAAATCTAATTCATATCACAACATATCCACAGCATTGATAAAGCCAAATCAGTCCCTTTCCGCAAAAAACTACACAGCTAAAAATAAAATAATTCGTAGTTCGTCAAGTTCGATGGTCAATCATAGTTTAATTAACAACCCCGATAAATTTGGCATTACTCCAATAAAATCTATCAATTCGGCGCAAATAAACATGTCGCGAGGAGCGTCACAATCTAAAACCAATTTCAATGAAATTTATCGATTGCAAAACACTTTGCTAAAAAGCGCATCAAGTTCGAGCATTCAACGTAGCAATTCAAAAAAAGGACTTAATGATTTTTGGTCAGAAAACTTAGCCAAATCTACTCAACAAAAGTTAGGATGGAATTATAATAAAATTATGGCGAATAGAAAAGAGAACATGAATTTGAACAATTCTGAGGTTAATTTACCAGCGATAAGTGACATCATTGAGAAAGCACCAGAGATAAGCGGATATAAATTACAAAAAAATATGTCATTATCACATTTGGGAAAAAAAATTCAACAAAATGTTTCTCGAGAGGAATTGTATAATTTAATGTGTAATAATGTACAGATTTTGGAAGAGAAAAACAACTCCAAATGTGACCATGAGCCAAAATCAAACCAAATATGCAAGCCAGCAACATACGTTTTGCATGATAAAAAAAGCTCATTATTAAAGAGTTTTTCGCAAACCAATGTGTCATCTATTTATAGTGAATCTAAAGAAAACAAGCCACAAAAAAAAAACAGCATTCCAACATTATTCAAACCGCATTGCAAGAGTCACTTCTTTAGTTCAACCTTTAACAGTCCAAAAGAAAGTTCTACTTCTAAATTTTTAGTGAAAAGTTCGTCTAGTTCAACAATTGGCAAACTCAAAAATATGAAAAACGACATAAATGATAATATACAAATCAGAACTTCAGATAATATGCATTTGAGCACAGCGGAAACTTTTTCAAACATCCAAAACAGAATATCTAAGAATAATTACATGCCAAATACACAAAAAAAGTTTACATCTCACGGTATATCATCGTTGAATAAACAGAACAGTGTTCATTTTTTCACTGCACATACGATTCCACAATTAGGTCAGAACATTGCTGTTGATCAACATGAATCAAAAATAAAAGCACAGATAATGACACATCAAAATAATTCTACATTATGTCATGAAACGCTTTTGAATAGTCCAAATAATTATTTTATGAACAACAGGTAAATACAGTTGTATATTTGGATACAATCTTGTTCGAAATCTTTGAAATTCAACCACTTATTTGCTTCCTTTTATTTTTAATTCATTTAGTGTGAATAAATGTTTAAAAACATCGTTTCTATCCAAGAATACTGATAAAATTATTATGCGGCAAATTTCTGAAACATCGAATTCAGGTCTAAATTCCAAAACATTTATTGAATATATTGATGATAAAAAATTAAATGAGAGTAATTTCAACAACGTGTCCAACGTGGGAAATAAAAAAAACATCACACATCCAAAAATAGATTTTACTTCATCAAATTCAATAACAAAATCTACGATTCCATTATTTTCGCCCGACATTCAAACACGGATAATACAAAATAAAATAGATACATCTAAAGAGTTACTAGCGAAAGGGAAGGAACAGAGAAATACAAATTCTCATTACATTAATGTCGCAAGCTCCCTTGAATCATGTAGCGAAACAAATTCTTCAACTTGCAAATATAATAAAACAGCAAGAAGGCATCATCCATCTATGTACAATATCATTTCAAATGTCTACCAAGTATATGCTGATCAACAACCCAGTCAACAAAGAACATCGAAACACGCTTTTCACACAAAGGTGACCAGATGAAAAATATCGACTGCATTTTTTTAAACTTTGTATTTTTTCACTAATAATTACATTAAAAACGCAACATATTTCTTATAACTCTTGTTTTTGGACTAAATTTTAGTTTTTCAATGCGTGTGAATATTATTAATAACAATTCTCCTATTAAAATGCTAATATTTTTTAAGAAAATAAATTTAATAATATTTGAGTTCGTATGGAAATATTAACATGTTTTAATAAAAAAATATCATTTTATGATATTCTTTAATACTATTATGAGTGAAAAGCAACTCGTAGCTTTGGAAAGTTATATAAAAGTTCATCTTTGAAACACATAACATATAATGTTTAAATAATTTTCAAAATAATAATAATAATAATAATTGCGTTTAAATAATTCTTTCTGCGTAAAACCTACTGAAATCAATTCCTGATAATAGAGAAAAAAACAAACAAAAAAGTAGTATTTTAAGGAAAATTATTACATGGACATTTAATACATTTACATGTATTTTTCCAATATTTCTTAAGGACTTTCATATATTGATATCTTAATTTGAATTTTGATATCCACAAAGGTCTAAAAAAAACCTGTGTGAATAGTTTAACCACGATACGGCATAGGCAACCAATGTCGAAAAGTTTGAAGGTCGTTGTGTTTTTGAAAAATTCTCATTTTTCGTAAAAATATATATCGGTATACAACATTTTTCAGTCAAATTGAGAATTTGGATGTTTTAGTACAATTACGGCAGTAAGCGATATTTGAGTCAGAAATCTTGATTTTAGAGTTGGTGTTATACACAGAAATTCATGACTCATTAGATATTAAAGTCCGCTTTAAAACAGCAATGAAAGAATAGAAAATCCAAATTTTATTGTGATTAAATGTTATAAATGCAAATTTTCGAATATGAAAATTGGTAGTGGAGAGTTGGTAGTGGAGGAGAAAACCGAATCTGTTATTTACTTTGCATTTTTGAATTTTTAACATAACCGTATTTTTACTACCTGATATTATTTCAAACAAAATGAATATTCTCATCTTCAATCAAATATCAACTTCGTATAAAATACATCTAGCAGCTGCTACAGTACGTTTTTTTATATAGAGTCATCGATATTTTAGACAAAAATTTCAAATATTCTAAAAATATTTTTGGTGTCGCTAGATGGCACTCTAAGCTACGGCGCACAACAAATTTGACAGTTCTCAAATCAGTACAGTGTTTGTTGTGCAATCAAAACATGAATTCCGAATATTTTTCAAAACGTTTTGAAGCAGTTTTTTTGCAGTTTGGACCAAAATGGTCAATAGTGAAGGTCGCAAAACACATTCAAAAGTCAAGAGGGTTCGTAACAGAGTGGATTCAGCCCAATGTTAAGCCAAACCGAGCCTCCTCGCCAGAGCAAGATAAGCCAATAATTAAGTTGTTCGACGAAAATTGAGCCAAGGTGCCTATGTCGTTGAGCCAAGGTGCCCATATAACTCATTTGCGGAGTAATTTTGTCGATGACGGGACTGTGCGGAGTTCGGCGGAGATAGCATGCAAATGCTGTGTGTACCAGTGCAACAGCATTTTTTGCTGTTCATAGATTTATTTTGTCCAATCGAACATCTTAGTAGCCGTACACACAGCTAAGTTACTAATCATCTGCGTAAGAATGATACACATAGAAGTGCTGTTACCCTCGTACACACAGAGTTTGTATGTCATCTCCGCCAAACTCCGCACAGTCTCGCCACCGTCAAAATTACTCCGCAAATGAATTATATGGGTGTTGAACGGCTACGCCATCTCAAAATAGACGTCTCGCGCTTCAAACTCAAGAAAAGATTAGATGTCGCCGGTTTTCATTATCGCAGTACAATGAAAAAATCACTTTTGACAGAAAACCAGAAGAAAAACGCATTGAGTGGGCAAAGCAAAATTCAACGACCGATTGGAGCAAAGTTATTTACACCGATGAGTCATCGTTTTGGCTGGTGAACAACACTACTCATGCCTGGTCCACAGCCGAAAAGAGAGTGGTCGTTCGCACGGTAAAGCATCCGCAAAAGGTGCATTTTTATGGTTGCTTCTACGGTACCGCTTGGAAAGAGGAAAATGGAATAAAACAAATGGACTGGTCGCCATAGTCACCCGATTGCAATCCGATCGAAAATGTTTGGGCCATTATTAAGGCAATGCTTCGTGGTAAAACACACCGCAATTTGAAGCAGCTGGTTCATTCATTCAACGCCAGTGGAAAGGTTTTCAACGCGAATATGCTGAAAATTTGAGCAAAAGTATGCCGAATAGATGTGCCCGTGTGATCGAGAAGGCAGGAGAATTGATTAAATATTGATTATCAATACTCAATCGCTGTTAATTTTGTTCCGCTTCGGGAGCATTTACCATTCAATGACATGCATTTCGAAAAATTGTTCAGCAATATTCTCCGCTTCAGCATTTGGCATAATGAAAGCCAGTTTTTGCTGTATACCAATCTAAAATAATAATTAAAATACCAACTGATTGTTAAAATGATTATTGTTACAATTAATTTCTTCATTTTGTGTGTTGTGGAAATTTGTTCCTAGGGTGAAACATTTTCAACATAATATTGTGGCCAACATTGTGGAAAAACATGTCTTATGGTCTCCAGTTTCAAGATATGAAAGAATTTTCAACTTTCTATTTTATATAAGACAGCGACTTGGAAATAAAAGAGGACTATTTAACTGGAAAATCATAAAAAATTGGGGTAGCCTAACCACCATGAAAACTTTTGAATCCTGACCAAAATACATAATATCAGCATGTTTGATGACATTTCGATCAAAACTAAGGGTACCTCCCATACAAAATTTGAAAAATATTTCCACCCTATATAGATGGAGAAGCACCAAAGCAAATTTAATTAAAATAAAATAGCGTGTGATTCACTTCAATAAATTTTGTTTATGTATTACAATTTGAAAAATGTCTTGTGTTTCAAGTTAAAATTGTTTTTTCAAATGTTCCATCTTGAAAAAATCAGTTTGGGTGTTTCGTAAATATGTTATTACGTAAATTGAGAGAAATTGGAAAATTGTTTCTTATTGTTATACTGCGATTGTACGACCTATGTGTGTATACATTGAAAAGCATTTGTTTGAGCCCTCTATACCAGGTCTCCGAGAGTTTCATTTAAGCGTGCCATGTAGCAGAAATACAATGAAAAACACGAAAAAATCTTCAAACGATTTTTCATGCTTTTTCGATGTAAAAGTCGATTTTTTTGTACACAGTAAGTACCCGACTTTCAGAACACATTGCGCTAGGTCGGAAGTGAATCTTGTGAAGCAGGTGGATCCGACCTAGCGCAATGTGTTCTGAAAGTCGGGTACTTACGATGCACCAAAAAAAAAAACGTATTTTCTGTATCATAACTAAATGGTCAATATCGCCAGGTGCGATCAGAACGGAAGATGGTTTAATGCCAAATCGCTCATCCCTGCATGTAATTTCTCTATGTATGGCATTGTGTCTGCAAATCAACATTCTATTCACACACAATTTGATCTTATATATTTTGAAGCGCAATAAAAATCGTTGACAAAAAATTAAAAGCGATGGCCACAATGCATTCACTGTTAACAAGTTTTACAATGCAACACTTTGGGTTTACACATTTCTATATTGTGAGTAGAAGTCTCACTTTCATTCTCGGACAATCATATAAAATATATTATTTTACATACATTCAAACGCATTATTAAAAAAAATTGAATGAATGCTACATAAGAACTACAATTTATGCACCTCATATTTTGCTAAGAAACTACCCATGACCGACAACATTCGAGGTGAACCCCTTCGAGGTGATGCAGCGCCGACACCAATTGATATTTTTAATTGTAGCTGAAAGAGAAAGTTTTCAGATGTTTTCACTCATTTAAGCAAATAATTCATAATCAACTACATCATACGGTTTCGGGCACCATTGAGTGCGGTTGATTTTATTTTAAAGAGTATTTTCGACTGCTTATCTCTATTTTAATTTTCAAAAGGTATTCAAAAATAAATAATTATTAAAGAGTACAAATTTTCGGGTAACATACTACGCATATTCCTATTATGTTAGAAAAAATTCAATTTATAGTTCAAACTATTTTGTTGGTTTGATGATTTTTCTAAAACAGATTTGGTTTTAAATGAACTCATGAATATTGTGCGCATCTCTTGTGAACATGGGTCAAGCACAACAAAACTTATTTTTAGTTTGAATCGCTAACATTCAAATATTCAACAGACTCGTTGAATAGCTATAGCATCGCTTGACGTTTCGTATGTGGAAAATATATCAGCAATGAAAAGTTTCGCAACTTTTCATAATTTAAAAAATTATATTGGGTGTATAAATTAATTTTGAGGGATTTTTGTGTGAAAAGAAACATTTATTTAAAATAACAAGAATGAGTACTTTAACCAATGTATTGCCCATCGTTTGCTATGACTTCCGCCCATCTTCTTGGTAGCTTGTCGATTCCGCGTCGAAAGAATTCCTCGTCTTTTGAGGCTATCCATTCATCGATCCATTTTTGCACTCTTTTAGGATTTCGAAACGATATCTCGGAGCAAGGTCTGGAGAGTACGCGGGTTGATCACGCCGATCCCAACCGAAATCTTGTACTTTTTTTTTAACGATGTCTGCTCGATGTGGCCTGGCATTATCATCGTGAAACACAACTTTGTCTTGTTTAGACGCTATCCGTGGCCGTTTAATCTTCAATGCATGCTCCATTTTGATTAATTGCATGCGGTAGCGTTGGGCTGTAACCATTTCACCTGGTTTTAGCAGCTCATAATACACGACACCTTTTTGATCCCACCAAATACACAGCATAACCTTCTGGCAATGAATGTCTCGTTTTGACTGCGATGGTCCTGGTTGGCCTGGATCAACATACGCTCCTTTACGTTTGGGGTTGTCGCAATAGACCCACTTTTCATCGCCCGTGACAATTCAACTCAAAAAAC